CCGGACCACCGCGGCGTGGCCCATCTCGGCGGCGAAGTGCAGCGGGGTGTTGCCCGCGAAGCCGTGGCGAGCGTCCACGTCCGCGCCAGACTCCACCAGCAGCTGCGCGACGGCGGCGTGGCCTGGGGCGCAGAAGGACGTACCAGTACTATGTGTTCATGCTGGAGGCGCACGCCCGATTCGAGCAGATAGTCCTCAAATCTTTCGGTAGATCGCTTCCCGACCGGTGTGGCCAAAACGCGTCCGCCACCGAGCATATACTGCAAGCTTTCTTGGCGCGCGCGTCACCCCTGTGGGGGCGGCGCGCACATGGTATGAGCATGCTTGCTTGTAGGGGAACAGCCGATAAACATAAACACAAAGTTTCGGAGGTCCGGGCGGATTTCTCGGATCGGCGCTGCCCCCCCCTGGCGGCGCCTCTGGCGCCTCCGCGCGGACCTCCGACAGTTTATGCTCATGTGATCGTTTGTTCCCCAAGTTTTGGTGGTGCCGATGGCCCATGATGGCCGCGGCGTGGATCGGCTGCAGGCCCGTGCCGGCCACCGCGGACACGTCCGCGCCGGCCCCCGCAAGGCTGCGGACGGAGGCCTCGAGGCCGAAGGCCGCTGCGAAGTGGAGCGGGGTGGAGCCGTCGGGGTACCTCGGGGGTGTCAGACTGGTGCGGAGGCAGACAGTGCGGCGACCGCGGAACCCCGAAGCCCAAACCCCCTCGAGTCATGACAAAACCGCGACGGAATGTCTGTTCGCTCGTTTCGGGCCTGGGGGCCGTTAATCCGGGCCTCGGGCATGGGTCGGGACCTCTCCTCCTCCTCCTTCTCCTCCTCCTCCTCCTCCTCCTCCTCCTCCTCCTCCCGACACGGGCATGGGTCGGGACCTCTGGGGTCGACGTCGCGAAGAAAATCATGGCAGCGGCGGCCTGGGAAGACCTCGCCGCACGGCCCGACGCCGCTGGGTGTCTTGGGGGGGCCGTGGGGGCCCGAGTCCCCCGAGACGGCCGCGGAGAGGAGCACCGAGATCCGACGCAGCGAAACCAACAAAAAAACACCGCTGCAAGTCGGAAGCCGGGCGAAGGCTGCTGAATCCGTGGCTGCTAAAATCGACCTCCGGGAAGCTGTCGTCGCCCTTCCGGGAAGAAGCCCGCTGACTGTTTCGCGTGCCGCGCCTCATTCTGGGAAGTTGTTTTTTCCTTCCAGGAGGGCCGTTTTAGCAGCCACGGTTTTAGCAGCCCTCGCCCAGCTTCCGGGCAAGTCACGACTGGAGCCCCCGGGCCCCATCCCTGTGCACCGCGTTTCGAGCCAGAGCGACCCGTGCGAGCCCCCAGGGCCCGAACACGGGCGAAGACGCTGGGCTCGAAGCAGAGGAGACGCCAGGATTTTGACGGTCCCCTAGGCCTGGCGAGGGCCGCCCGAGACCGAAGATGACGAGAAACCGCCGTCTCGATTTTCTCCATACATTACGGATCTAAGGGACGGCGTGGCCACCGCATCGTTTCAGAGCCTCCGGGCACCAGAGACCCTGGGTCCAGCAACGCTGGAGGAGGAGGAGGAGGAGGAGGAGGAGGAGGAGGAACGACGCTACGAGCGCTGCTCAAAGTCTGCATAACGCAATAAAAAGGAGGACAAGGAGGAGGAGGAGGAGGAGGAGGAGGAGGAGGAATAGGACTGTGAGGACGAGAAGGAGGAGGACCAGTGCAAACCCAAAGACTCCTCAACGATGTTACAACCATCCCTCCTCCCAGGTCTCCTCTTCGCACAGGTCCTGACAGGAGCTCGCTTTTATCCTGAAGGAAGTGCCCCAGGAAGGGGCTTACGTATAAGGAAGAGATTTGGAGTCCCGAAACCGGTGACGCACCCTGCGGTGACCTCGAAATCCCCCAAGACCTCACCGCACGGTCCGCCTCCACACGGCCTCGGGACCCTGGAGGCCCCTGTCGCCCGAGACGTCCTCGGAGAGGGCATCGAGTCCCAAAACCGTGCGGTGACCCCGAATCCCCACCGGCTCACCGCACGGTGTGGTCACCGCACCGTTTGGGGACCCCGGAAAGAGGACGGAGGTTTAAGTCGGGCCTGTCCCCCTACAGGGGGATTTGACGAAAAATTAAAAATACCCCAGGAATAATCAAAACATAATTAAAAAAACAAAAAATAGTACAAAGTAGTCTGGACACAATGTTTTGCTTATTGTTGATCTTTTTGGGGTACTCCTGGGGTCTTTGTTTTGTTTTTCGTCGAAAATCCCTCTGTAGGGCGACTTCTGGGTTTTTGTCTTCCCCCCCACTTCCCACAGTTTCCTATATTTTCTCGGGAATCGACGATTCATTGTGTCTGTGTGTTTTTTCCCCTCCTGGAGGACGGAGGCGGAGGCCACCGCACCGCTCCCGGAGGGCCCCCCTCATCCTTCTCCTCCTCCTCCTCCTCCTCCTCCTCCTCCTCCTCCTACTCCTCCTCCCCCTACTCCTCCTCCTCCCTTCCCTCCCCCCCCTCCTTTCCCCCCCCTCCTCCTTCCTCCGTCCTCCTCCTCCTCCCTCCTCCTCCTCCTCCTCCTCCTCCTCCTCCTCCTCCTACGCCTACCTCCTCCCTCCTCCCTCCTCCTCCTCCCGCCCTCCCTCCTTGCCTCCCCCCCCTCCTCCCCCTCCTCCTCTCCTCACCCTCCTCCTCCTCCTCCTCCTCCTCCTCCTCCTCACCTCCATCACCCTCCTCCTCCTCACCCTCCTCCTCCTCCTCCTTCTCCTCCTCCTCCTCCTCCTCCTCCTCCTCCTCCTCCCCGCCACCGGGCACCGGAGGCCCGGCTCCAGCGCGGCCGGGAGGTGCGCCGCCTCGGGGCCCCGCGCCTCCGCCTCGCCGGGCGCCGCGGCGCGGGCGCCGCGCGCCTCGGCGGAGAGCGCCTGCAAGAGACGGGCTCGGGGCCTCTGCCGGCCAGCAGAGGGCAACGACGAAACAACTCACGCAGCGCAAACTGCACGCACGCACCAACCCACGCAAAAACGCACGCACGCCCGCAAACGCACGACGTACGAGAAAAGACGCAACACAAACACACACAGCGACCCACACCCCCCTCCACCCACCCCACACCGCCAACAGCACGCACTGCACCGCACGCACGCACGCACGCACCACTGCACGCACGCCCGTCACGCACGCACGCACGCACACAACGCCACAGGCAAGCACAGCACTGCCGACGCACGCACGCAAACTCACGCACTCACGCACCCAAGCACACACACACACACATTCACACACACACACACACACACACACACACACACACACACACGCACCCGCACGCACGCACGCGCGCGCGCACGCACACACGCACGCACGCACGCACGCACAGATGCACACTTGCGCACTCACTCACGCACGCACGCACGGGCACCCTCCGACCAGCTCCACGCAAGCGCGTTCCACTACCTGCAAAGTCACTATACGCGCAAATGGCCTGGATCCGGCGCGGGGAATCTACGATAAATTACATAAGGAGTCGAGCATCTGTTTTTGTCGGACGTTTGCGAGTAGGCACTTTGCGAGTAGTGGGACGCGCTCGGCTAAGATCTGCATGTGCCAGCAGGGAGGGCGGCGGCGCAACAGGCCGCTGGCTCTCAGTGGTGATTTGTACGCCGCCACCCTCCCCCGGAGGCCCAGGAGCAAGCCGTGGGAGGGCGTCTGCGTGTATACTTCTGTCCTTTTGTGGCGGATCGCCGTCCAGGAAGCGGGTGGACGGGACCATGCCGAAGAAGATGGAAGAAGAAAAAACAGCACAGAAGCACACACACACACCAGAGACAGAATCATGGGCAGAACCATAATCCGCCGACCCCCTCTTGCCCGGGGGTGAGAAGCCGTGCGAGATGATTGGCTGTTCCCCTCCCCCTTTCTCCCTCCCCCAGGGTCCACAATGCTGTTTGAAGGGGCATGGGGCAACCTCCCCAGGGTGGGGGCACGAGTTCGCCAACGCACCCCCCAGAGCCTCGGGAGCTTCCAAGGAGCCACCAGACAGCCAAAGAGGGCATAAAGAAAGCGCCAAGGTATCCCCAAAGAGCGTCGACGACGGTCCAAGATGGCTTCGAGACCGCCCAAGACGCCCCCAAGACCGCCCAAGAGTGATCCCAGAGGACCGCCGAGAGGGCCTCAAGAAGCATAGATCGTCCACTTTCCAATGGAAAGCGTATATGCTTAGGACACTTGTTTCTCTCGTCTTGAAAGCATCCAGGACGGTCCAACGAGCCCCCAAGAATGTCCCACGACGGCCCCCGAGGGCCCCAAAACTGCCCAAAAGGGCCCCCAAAGAACACCGGGGCCCCGGGACGGCCCGAGAGAGGCCCGAGAAGGCCCCAAGGATGGGCCCCAGAATGGGAATGCGAACCGGCGGCCCCAAGATGGCCCCGAGCGCCTCCGAGCGGCCTCCGAGGCGCCCCCCCAAAGGCCCCAAGAGGCCCCCAAGAGGCCCCCAGGAAACCCCCAAGAGGCTTCAAAAAATGACAACAGGCCCCACTCCTCCTCCTCCTGCTCCTCCCCCCCCTCCTCCTCCTCCTCCTCCTCATCCTCCCCCTCCTCCTCCTCCTCCTCCTCCTCGTCCTTTCATCCTCCTACCCGAACCCCTGCGGAGGAGGGCTCAGAGCGAGGCGTTGGTATCGTTGTCTGCATCCGCCGACGTCCGCTCCCCAGGACTGCGGAGTCGCGCGAGCTGATCGGCAATCCCCTTCCGGAACACATGTTAGCCCCACACGGGTGCACAGGTGGGTGGCTGCGACGTTCCGAGCCACGACTCGCCCTGGCAGCTGCCATGGGCTCCTCACCTCGCTGTGGGCCGGCGGAATGGCGTAAGCCTCTCGAGCAATGAGAAACACCATGTGAGTCAAACCACAGCAACGGAGAAGGAAACACAACAAGAACAGCCAGGAATGAGACAAAGTTTCGGAGGTCCGCGCGGATTTCTTGGATCAGCGCTGGGCTCCCCCTCCCTGGCTGCGACTCCAGCGCCGCCCCTGGCGCGCTCCGCGAGCGAGGGGGAGTCCAACGCCGATGCAAGCAAACCGAGCGGGCCTCCGAAAAGTTATGCTCGTGCCGTTTTTCCTCTTCGGGACGAGCAGTAGCCGCGCCGAGTCAGACTGGCCCTTCTGGGCGCGGTCAAACTGGAAGGCGGTTTCCTCCTCCGACATCGGCGGCTGCGGCCTTGAGGGGCAACGATAACTGGTGACACAGGCTCAAGGGGAGAGAACACCAACCTGAAATCGGCGATACATCGCCGATGGATCGGCGATCGGCTCTCGACAGCGATATCCCACTGTTCTGGACGGGGATGGGCAGGCCCCTCTCGTTCATCGATGGGCAATTGGGGGTCGATGCGTCGCCCCTCCCTGAGGCTTGGCCCTCCTTCACGTTGCCCCGGTCTTTGTCTGGCTCCTGGGCAAGACGCAGCTCGGGCCTCCCGCGGCCCTTCGGGACCACCCGGGCGCCCCATGGAACGCTCTCGGCGAGGCGCAGCCGCTGGAAGGCACCCCCCCAGCCCGGCGAACCGCTGCGAGCCGACGAGCGCCCCGAGAACCTCGCACCCCGCACCCGCGAAAACCTCGGCGCGCCGCTCGGCGAGGCGCCGCTCTGCTGGACGGCGCCCCGAGGCCGGGGGGCACCGCCGAGAGCCGCGGCGAGAGCGGCCGAAGACCTCGAGCCTCGACGCGACGAGGCTGTCCCCGCGGCCTGCCCTCCTCCTTGGGCGCGACCAGGCCGGCAGCGTTGCGCTGCTCCACGAGGCTGCGCCAGGCCGGCGCCAGGGCCGCGTGCAGCTTCGCCGGCGTGGTCAGCTCGCCGCCGATGAGCGGGATTGTCGGGGGCTGCGAGGCCAAGCCCCCTCGAGTCACGAAGAGGCCACGGCGGCAAGATCTTCGCACCTGTAGCCTCTGGGGAGGCCCTAACCGGGCACCGGGACCGTCAAAAGGCCACTCAGGATGAGCAGCCGGCCCCGGGGAATCGACTGAGACCTCTGGGGGTCGACGCCGCGAACAAAGCATGACGTCGGGCATCTGGAAAGGGTGTCCCTGGCCCCCGAGGTGCCCCCAGCCGTCTCCTCCTCCTCCTCCTACTCCTCCTCCTCCTCCTACTCCTCCTCCTCCTCCTACTCCTCCTCCTCCTCCTCGTCTCCGCCTCCGCCTCCGCCTCCGCCTCCTCCTCGTCTCCCCTCCCCCTGGTTGGGTCCTCCTCTCCTCGTCTCCTCTGTCCTCCTATCCGCCTGTCCGCCTATCCTCATATCCACGCCTCCTACTCCTCCTCCTCCTCCTACTCCTCCTCCTCCTCCTACTCCTCCTCCTCCTCCTCGTCTCCGCCTCCGCCTCCGCCTCCGCCTCCTCCTCCTCCTCCTCCTCCTCCTCCTCCATCTCCTCCTTCTTCTTTTTCTTCTCCTCCTCCTCCTTATTCTTCTTCTTCTCCTCTTCTTCCTTCTCCTTCACCTTCTCCGTCTCCTTCTCCTTCTCCTTCTCCTTCTCCTGCTCCTGCTCCTTTTCCTCCTCCTGCTCCTCCTCTTGCTCCTCCTGCTCCTGCGCCTGCTCCTCCTCCTCCTCCGCCTCCTTCTCTTGCTCCTGCTCCTGCTCCTCCTCCTCCTCCGCCTCCTCCTCCGCCTCTTCCTCCGCCCTCCGCCTCCTCCTCCTCCTCCGACTCCTCCTCCGCCTCCTCCTCCTGCCCCCACGGGACCTCCTGGGCCTCGCGATGGGGTGCCCTGGAGGCCGTGGGGCCGAGGCACAAGCAACAGCAGTTGGCATACGCTTTCGGAGCTCCGCGCGGACCCCCGAAAATCTAAATCTTGATGCCACTGCCTGCTTCCCGAATGGAGGGCCTCCTTGGCACTCGCGGGTCATGGGGGCACCTCTGCCCCCCCCCCCGGAGTCCATCCGGTGCAGCTTTTCGCCCCGGATCCGTCTTTCACAGTCCTGGGAAGGCAGAGGCGAGCAAAAAACAGCAACACAGCTTCTGGTTCTTACATGCAGTCAAAAACCCTATAAGGACGCGCGGTAAGAACGCAAGACCCTTGGAAGCCGAAGTTGGGATTTTTGGGGCGGCGGACGACGAAAACCCCAAGACGAAACCAAGGAAGGACGGAGACGCACGAGCAAGGAAGAGCAAGGACGCAAGGGTACCCTGAGCAAAATCGCGGGTCCTTATTAGGGTTCTTGACTGTAAGGTCTTCCCGAACCCAGAACCTCGAGCCTGCCCGCCCGCCCTGCCCGCCGCAGCCAGCGCTGGGCCGCCGCAGCGACCCCCAGCCCACGGACACCCTGGGCCAGCAGACGCATCCCAGACGGGGCCCGAGCAGACGGCGTCGGAGGACCGCCCGCCGCACCGCCGCTGCATCGCCGATGCATCGCCGAGGCACCGGCGATGCGCCGGCGGTCCACCTGGGAGGCAGGAGGAGGAGGAGGAGGAGGAGGAGGAGGAGGAGGAGGAGGAAGAAGAGGAGGAGGACTCGAGCCGGGGGCACGCCCGGCACCCCCCGAGATGGTGAGGGCACCGGCGTCGGAGGCGAGGCGCGCGGCGGGCAGGGCCAGCGCCAGGAGCAGGGCCGCGAGGGGCGCGGGGCGCGCGGGCGCGGCCATCGCCGGGGATGCCCTGAGGAGAGAGGCAGCTTTCGGCTTCTTTGGACACCCGAAATGGGTACCGAAAGAATGGGCACAATGCCCAACAACAAATGTTGTCCTGTTCAAAATGAGCAGGAACTGCTGTTGGGCATTGTACCCATTCTTTCCGTACCCATTTCGGGCGTCCAGAGCTTCGGCCCGCATCGGCTTCGGGCCCGTCTCTCCGGCGGCGAGCCCCGGGACTCGTCAGCAGGCGCGAGGGCTTCCGAGCAGCCCCGCCGCCGTCTGAGAGGGCCTCCTCCTATTCCCGCTTCTGCCCCACCGCTCGCCGCCGAGTCTCGGCTTCAGGCCCGTCTCGGCTCCATCGGTCTGTTTCGGCCTCGGCCCGTTTCGCCTTCGGCCGGTTTCGGCTCTCGGCCCGCTTCGGAGAACCCCCGCCGCCATTCTGAGAGGGCCTGCCCCCCTCGGACTTCCCCCCCCGGGCTCGCCGCCGAAGGGAGGGGTAATACTGGTTTGGCGGACTTTTCGAGCCATAACTCGGTTTTCTGGCGGCCGTTGGAGACGACCAGGCAGCCGCGGAATGCTCTCGGCGAGTCGCAGATGCTGGTAAGCACTCCGAATCGCCGAGAACCGACGAAAGCGCCAGAAAACCTCGAATCTCGACCCCCTGGCCCGAGGGAGGGGGGGGAGACTGGTCTGTCGGTTACACGTGTGACCCTGGGTAAGAGTGACCTTTGGTGCGCGGCTTTTTCGGGGCCGTGGGGGGACCAAAGCTGGGCGCGCAGGCCGCTGAGCCAGCTTCGCTTTCAGCCACCTGGGGACCCGTCTGTGCCCGCACCACAGGTCACTCCGGCGAAAGGTCCCTCGTACGTCTAGTCGAGTCTGGCGGATGCATCTGGGGGGGGGGTCCCCATTGCCCGGCGCGGCCGGAGAACGTGAGCGGAGAGCGCGTGCGCTGGCGGCGGGTGGCTAGGCCTGGCCGCCGCAGCTCGAGGACCGAGCTCTGCGCGGAGCGGGGGCACCGCAGCCAGCTCCCGTCAGATGATCCTCAGAGCGCGTGTTGGCCCTCGCGTGTGCCTGTCCACCAGAGCCTTCCTCTTCCTCATGTTCCTCCTCCTCCTCCTCCTCCTCGTCCTCCTCCTCCTCCTCCTTCTCCTCCTCCTCCTCCTCCTCCTTCACCTCCTCCTCCTCCTCCCTCTTCCATCCCTCCTCGCTCCTCGCTCCTCCTCCTCCCTCTTCCTCCTCCTCCTCCTCCTCCTCCTCCTCCTCCTCCTCCTCTTCCGCATCATCCCTCCTCCATCCCCCCTGCCCAGATCATCTGGGACCGGCTTAACTCGGTAGCAGATTTCTGGATCGGCGATTCCAGGTCGCGACCGGATCTTGCATTTTGCGCCATATCGATATGTTCGAAAACCGCTATTCTTTCAACCCTCTGAATTTCGGTATTGATAACATGAATTTCGGTAGCGGTCGCGGCGCAAAATTCGGTATCGTCGAACGCGAAATTCGGTAGCGGACCAGGTGCGGATGTCGAATGCTGGTGATCATGACCAGGGTCGGCTATCTCCCGCACGTACCAAAGGGGGAGAGGAGAGCAGTATTCATATTGAATAGTTGTGGACAGAGGAGGGATGAGAGGGGAAGAGGGAGGCGGAGGAGGAGGAGGAAGAGGAAGAGGACGAGGAGAAGGATGAAGAGCAGGAAGAGAAGGAGGAGGAGGAGGAGCAGCAGAAGGAGGAGGATAAGGAAGAAGAGAACGAGGAGGAGACGGAGGAGCAGGGGAGAAGGATGAGAGAAGGAGGAGAAGGAGGAGAAGGAGGAGGATAATACAGATGAGAAGGAAGAACGCGACTACCTGCCGTAATCCGTTTCAAGTTGCCTGCCCGCTTGCCCGCCGCCTGCCTGCCGCCTGCCCTGGCCATGGATTTCGATCCTGTGGCTGATACGTTTGGTGGATTGCGCAAGGTTTGGGTGACGCCGACGACGACGAATGACGACGCCGACGACGACGAGGACGAACGACGCACCTATCTTAGAACGAAGGCGATGACGGAGTTTGCTGAGAGAGTGGACGAAGCGGAACGGTTTCTGGAAGAATCCCAGGGGGAGTACGCAGAGTTGTACCAGGCCAAGGAGGAATTGGAGGAGGACGCGACGGGGGGGAACGATATCACGCCAACGCCGATCTTGGCTGGGCTGCTTTCGGGGCGAGGGCTGGCGCATGATCGGCCAAACCTGGCTCGGCCAGCGGTCGCATGCGCCACCCTTCCACCCGCGATTGGCCTAGCGCGGATCGACGGTGGCGTGAAATCGGCGAGGAGAATAAAGAGCTCAAAACGAGAGTTGCGAAGTTAGAGATGGAGTTGAACAAGATGAAGAATGAGAAGAAGAAGAAGAAGAAAGAGAAGAAGGATGACAATAAGAAGCCTCAGTGAGCGGGCTCGGCCGCTCGGAGCCGTCGACGTTTTCAGGCCCCTTCGGCCTCCAGGGTTCCCATTTTTCAAGGCCATTTTAGGCCTCAACAAAAAAAAAAACCACAAAAAACACCCAGGGCCGACGACCAGAAGGGAGGAAGAGGGGCAGGTTTCGTCGTCGTCCTCCTCCTCCTCCTGCTCCTCATCCTCCTCGTCTTTCTCCTCCTCCCTCTTCTCTTCCTCCTCCTTCGCCTCCTCCTCCCCCCCTTGGTCTCCTCCTCTCCCCCTCCTCTGCTCCTTTGTGTCAACGCCCTCAATCCCTGCCCCTTGTCCTCCTTCATCACCTCCCCCCCAGACTGCCCATTCTTTGCACGTGCACTTTTCGCCACCGCGCCAAGGCACCCTGGCCAGCTTCCGTGCTGGCTAATCGGAGAAAACACGAGTGATTTCGAAGCCCGCTGCCCCCAGGGGGGGCGAAGTCGGCGCGCCATGTTATGCAATGCCATTCTACGCTACGCCGCGCAGCTATTCTATGGTATGATATGCAACGCCATGCTATATGTTATGCTATGTTGCGACGACGCTGCGCAATGCGATGCCAACGCAGTTCTCTTTCCAAAGGTGAATCGCAAAGCGAACAATGAAACCTACCAATGCGCCAGCGCTCTGCGATTTTCTTGCTAAAGAGACGCAGATTGGAACCAATCATTATGGCGCCAGCGACGAGGCTACAATGGCGCATAAAATCTTCTGCCATGTAGCACCACACTATTTTCGGATTAATCCACCTGGCGCTTTGTCCCAGGTGGAAATAGAAATGGTGCTTGTTGACCGTGCTCCATTTATATTTTGAATCGGCCATGGCCTTTGAGGCCAATGCACCGTAAAAGACTAGTGTCTTTTCTACAGCCGACTCTAGGCGGGCATATTCTTCCGTAGTCAGAAACATCCCAGCACCATCGATGACCTGATAATACTCGTTGAGGTTTTTCAGGCAATTCGTTCTCCACTGGCGCTCATCGGTGCCGTCGTCATAGTCATCGCGAATGAGTTCTAAAATCACGGGGGCGAGGCACCTCTGCTGAGCGGCCTTTATGCTCTTCGACAAAACGGGGTACTCGGAATGCGGGCCCTCGACCTTCACGAAATGTTTCAATGCAAAGGATCCGCGGGCCACCGAAAGTGTAGAGTTAGCACGTTACAGACGCACTCATCCCACCGCCATCGCGTCCCCCACCAGGTATCCTCCTCAATTCCCTTCTCGCCAGAACCTCCTGGGGTGACGGGGGCACGGGGCGAGTTTGACCGAAAAGACGGGGGGAGCCCCTCCCCCAATACATATTCAAGTTTTCACCCTGCTGCGCCCTACCCTCTGCCCTCCTCCCTCTCTACCCCCGCCCCCTCTTCTCCTTCCCGTTGCCATGTTTGCTCGTCTGTCGCAATTTTGGCTCAGCCGAGTCGTGCTCATTTTGGTTGTCGGAGATGGCGTAAGCCAATTGAATGAAATCCTATGCTTAGTACTCTGGCGATCGTAAATCTGCTGGATCCTCGTCCAGGCGCGGGCAACGGCAGCTTTGATACTCTGTCCGTGCGGGCGTTGTTCGTATATCATCTCGTACAAACAATTGCCCAGTATGTGCGATGCCACACCGAGGTCGACACAATGCATTGAATCGATCGACAAAGTGTGGGCATTGACGCCCCAAACTTCCATCAATGGGTGATTGAATTCATAGGGGTGCTCACGCCGCACAGACTTCATCCAATGTTTCCTGTATCGATCCTGGGAGTCAAGCGCACGAGCTGATGCAGGATCGTGCTTCTGATTTTGTTTTGCTGGGATGGGGGGAGGGGGAGGGGGAGGGGCGTCAGGAGATGGGGGTTCGGGTTATTTGGTTTTCGGTATTTCTTGGCATGGGCTGTAGTGATCGTTCGGGCTGGAGGCATTATGTTCGTGTTCTGCATGGATGGATGCGCGCGCGTGCACAATGTCATGCTCTCCCTGACCCCAAATGCATAAACTACATTCGTGCATAGATACATATACGCATCTGCGTGAACATGAGAGTGAGCATCGCGAGGGCCCCCCTCACCCCCTTCCCCGACATTTGCGAAGACACAAGTTTGGGGTACTGTGAGTGGTGTTTCATCCGCCCGTTTCCTTCACGAAATCGTTGAATGGATTCGTATCGCGATTTGCATCGCAAAGCCAGCAGGGTTGTGTTGAATTTGGTCCTGGGCACCCCAACGTCTGAAAATATTCCATGTCCCCCTGTATGCTGTGAATCCACCCGCGGTAAGGCTTCTCAGCGCTGCATAGCCACTTGCCCTTCTTCAAATCACGATCGCTGCCGACAGGGAATGGATCGCCGTTCCAATCGCCCGCGCCAAATGGCGCTTCGAGCGCGTCGGTGAGATTCCCCGAAAGATTCGGATGGAGGGCGGCCCTTTACAAAACCAAGAAAACTATCATTCGGACGCGCTTGTTCCTGCGGAACTCCCCTCCGCAAAGTGATCGGATGGATGGGCGGACATCTTTCAAAACGTCAGGCAGTGGCTGTGCGAAGCAATTGTTATCTTTAGTTGGATGCTTCCCTGAGGCCAGAGAGTTCAGGCTCCATTTCAGCACCCGCCAAATGGACTTCCAAGTATCTACCCCATGGTGTGCTTCCTTTGATGTGATAGAATACGGCCACGCCGCCATTAAATTACACAACTCCCTGGTCGTCCCCTTTGAAAGCAGACCAGTAAAACTAGTAACGAGAACGGAATCGTTGGCCATCATCTCGGCTCCGTCACCGTGCAAGCGCAGCGGCGCAAACCATTTTGTCCTCACCTTAGCGGGCTCCTTCCAAATGGGGTGGCCTACGAGCTTGGGGTCGTTCCTCGGGGCTGTAAACTTAAGTCTACGCGTGGACCGCGTTGACGGCTTCAGCGCGCACGCATGTTATATGGCACGCGCGCGCCACAATGCAATGCATATCCGTTCAGCACTAGTCATCCGAAACTCAATACGCGCGAATGCAACGCATTGCAAATCAATTGGCGCGTGCATAACATACATACGCGTGGGTTTGCCCAACAGTGTCCTCGAAACGCCCTTCCAAAAGGCGGGTAAAGCTGCAATGCCAAATAATTCTTCAAATTCCGTAGGGTGGTGTTCAAACATGCTGGAGAACAGGTCATGCGGCATGATTGCCGACGCGTCGATATCAGCAATTTCCAATGTCTTGGGCGTCAAATGAGGTACAGGAAACACTTGTGGTTCTGGTAGAGTGTTCCCCTTCAGATATCTATTGGTGAGTTCTTTATGCAAATTCCCAGGACGCGTGCCCCACGCACCCATCTGAACGATGCTTTCGATTTCTTTGTTTTTGGTACCGTCCTGATGCGCCGCCAGAATAAATCGATGGACTTCCGTCGCATGGAGCCTGCCCCACGCCCAATGATTCAGAACCAGCGTCGATAGGTTTGAAAACTCCTGCCAAAGGTCAACCGAAACTCTTGGCTTCTGTTTCTTATCCTGGCATCGCGCATGGAGATGCGTGGTTGACTTCAAAAACGAAAACCTGAAGCCGCCCGAACACTGCCTGGAACAGAAACAAGCTAAATCGATTC